ATCACAAACGGAAAGTAAATCGAGTAATTTTCAGAATTTCAAACAAATTCACCCATAATATCATGGTAACATTTGAAACATGCAACGAAATCGTATTATGAATATAGTTAAACCAACAACCCTTCCAATTTTTCTACTTTCATAATTTACATTGTCGTAAAGTAAACCGAGCTAAAACGATCAAAGACTAATTGTTTCGTTTTTCAACAATTTACCAATACAATTCATATCTATTTCCGGCATTTTGAATATGCTTTTGTCGTTTTCAGAATATATTGAATTATTTTCTCACCAGTACCTACCACAAGAAAAAAAAACGAAATTAATTTCAGAATAAGAAACATTCTAGTATTAGTTATAAAGTTTTTTTTAAATCAGGTATCGGAATTAGCTTTTATTCTCGGTTGGAATGAATACTAAGCGAAAAAATGTGCTTTATCTTATAATACGTATAATGTGTGTCAGTAGCGCCACCGAACGTAAATTGATCACCACATGCAATCCTTTCATATTACTGCATATGGTGTAATATACTTGGATACGCCACTGACTTAAATAAAAATAATAGGTCCGAACACAGATGTGTGCGCGTCGGAATGATAATTCATAAATTTAGCTTTTATAGATTATAAATGAGCATGTGTGCGTGCGTAGATGAAGACGGAGAGCGAAAGGTTCAAAGTGGTTTTATTTAATTCCGTAGGGTACCCTCCACCCAACATCCAGGTATATTCATTCTTTTACAATATACCGACAAAAAAGACAAGAAACATTAAAGATCACAGCGAAGTGTGAAGTCGCACAATCAAAGATTCACACACGCGCAGACACCAGAACAGGTTTCCAATTGTTAATGACACTTTACGACATATACTAATTCTGCTCCATTACCGGGTTAAAAGTGTGAACATTCCTTGATCATTCAATATACAATCGATAAAAGTAAATACAATATCAGATGCAAAAAAAAAACAATTCGGGGTATTTTTATACCACAGTGTAATAGAAAAGGTGCGCAACGCACCTTTTGTCATCGCGCCCTTTGCCCGATCGACATAATAAACAAATAATAAACTACGATTGTGGCAAATTACCATCGAAGTCTCTATAATTACGTGCGCACAAGCGGAAATTCGTATTTCTTTTTTTCCTTCATCCTGAAACAGCCATCACTCGCCACTCGCATTTAAACCACATCGACGTTATATAATCGTAATGTACATTTTCATAAGTGAATTGGTCATATTACCAACTGTATCATGCGTATACCTTACGAAGTGGAACCCTTTTTCGGCGACGTCCAGTCGTAGATCGGGCCACAACATGCCGCGTCGCGCCGAAAACAATCATTATAATTTTTTTTCCTTTCAGGTGCGTAGGTACGATATATATTTGTAGTGAACGTGAAACGGTAATATAAGAGCACCTGGCATTGAACAGGCAAACATTACTCATATAGTGGTATTCCAGCAATATAGGTAGGTATCAGTTGATATATTCGTCAATACCATGTAGTAGGTATTATGTATTACAACTAATAACTGTTATCATTATTTTAGTTATGCGCGTATTAATATTTTATTACACAAGTGTTGTTTTTTTTTACCACGTTATGCTAAATAATGTTAGCATAACTTTTATTCATGAAAATTACGCGATGTTGCAATGTTTTCTTTGCAATGAAACAACTAATTCTGGGAAAATAAGGACGATTAATATTACACAGACAACGTCTCGATGCCTGCCTGTACGGCGTCAATTATAACTTTATTAATGTCGCCACACATTGCAATTGTGCACGCGCTCGTTGTTTATGCGCCCGGCGGACACTTGAGTAGTCGTCGAGCAAATTACAAAAATCCGAATCTGTACTAAACCGCATTAGAAAGCGATATAAATATGAAATGAATATCATTAATAACTGGCGCGAACAGCGCCAACCGAGTCGAACGCGAAACACGAGATTTTATTGCATTTTATTTTATTTTATTTTATTCGCCGCATTACGAAACGGATGCATAATTAATGGCGAGTACATGTCGGAGAGCGTGCGATAGCCAAGCGGCTAACGGCTGCTCTCGTTTGTCGTTAAATTACATTAAATTACATCGAACGCAATAAAATCACAAATTAATATGCAACTAAATCAAAACTAATAAACCAAATAGAAGCGGAGTCCGCATGCGATAAACATGAATATTTCAACAAATATCTCACTTTCGCAAACGCGCGTAAAAATATTTATAAATATTAATATGAATAATGTTAAAATAGTGTTAATGGGTCGATTTATATCGGATTTTATAAATATTTATATTCGCTGTGTCGCGAGGAATTTTAAACAGAGTGCTGGACGCGATTGTTATTTTTTCCTCTATGCTGCAAAACCGAACATGACAATCGAAATATTTAATTTTAATAGCTAATCCGGCGACAAATGCCGCTATTCTTCCATTCACATGTTATGCCACTGTTTAGTTTTGTTCACTTATTGTTATTCACTTATTCAGTCATTCTCACATTCTCGCTTTCAACATTTTATGGTCTAACATTTTCAAACTACATACCTATCTATCTACTTTCGTGTGTATGTGAAAATAATGATACTTTTTTATTATGTTGGGTCGCTATTTTTGTTTTGTTTGTCTATTATACAAACTATTACTTACTAGGCTTAGAAATATTTGTGTATGTAAACCAAAGTGACGCAACTATAAATATTAATAAATAATTAAAGTTTTTGGAGAAATTTGTGCGTGGTGCGGTCGAAATGACGCAGGAATGATGTATGCATGAGTGCGTGAGTGGCCTTCTCATATATGCAAACTTTCTGTGCGGAAGTTTTAAATTTTTCAAAAGTTTCCCCAGAATTTTTCAACATTTGAGCGAATTTTTGAGTTGCCATGAATGTTCCATGAGCGAGGAAAAAGCAGAAAAATGCTTTGGCCCATGTTTGATTGCCGATCGCGGCATTATCGCCGTGCATTATTGATGTATGCGGCCTGAACCGCAAAGCGTGCTGCGTTTGTTTCTCTTTTTTGTTGAAGGTTTCTATAAAATATAAATACGGATGGAATATTTAGATTTTTTTCGCTCAGCTCTCCCGCTTAGAACGGGGCTGAAAATTCTACGTGGTGGTTACGGCTGTCAGCCAGGAGTCCGAATGCGTTCGACGTGATACAATTGTTTGTGTGTGCGTTGTAAGTTGAAAATAATTTGCTTGCTCCGTCGCGTTCGGAAACAGCAAGTATAATAGCGCTTTATTCAAATATAGCCGTTCACTATTTATATTTTAAGCATAGTATAATAATAAAAGTAATAATTTGTATGTGCTCGGTGCGACGGCAATGGCTCTCTCTTGTACGGCAAAGTCGTTAACGAGATTAAATGTGTACATTGTCGAGAAAACCATTTGGAATGTAAATATTTTTCCAACGTGTTGCCCGCCCGCTCGCGTCCGCCCGGGCTCTCCGCCGGCGTTGTGTACTGTTGTGTTGTACGAACGCGTTTATCCCTTGCAGTCGTAAACTTGGTAATATTCGTGCCTTTATATGTGATATAGAGAAATGTATTTTACTCGGCGCGAGTCAGGAGTGAGCATGAGAGACTAGTTGCTGGAAATAAATGCAGCGGCAAAACGGGCGGACGCGCAGGACAAAGCGCCGACGAAAAAAACGCGACAAAAAGCGAGTGTAAATAAAATTAAGCTTTCTGTGTGAGAGTACAAACGAGCAAAAACAATATAACAAAATAAGTTTACTGTCGTGCAACTATATTTTCTTGGAACCCAGTACAGTTTTGTCTTGACTGCCCACAATATTATCTATCTGAAGAAGTCAAGTGTAAGGCAGACCTCAAAGTACAATAAATTAAAAACATTACACGTCACCTGCTAACATGGGTAAACCGCTAGAAATAATGTGATTTTTCATCCCTGCTCACCATATTTGCAACTCAAACTAGTAAAGAAACCCTGCTCCACGCTTGATCATGCTATAATTTTCCATATGCGGAAACTGTGCACCCTACTCGGTGGGGTTGCACTGGTTGGTCTCTAGAACGAGAGCGAACACTTGTGTCTATTGATTCATATGACCCGAAGTGATACGCGAGACGTGCCCCTCGTGCGCGCCGTGCTTTCCGACCCTGTGTCGCGTCGTCCCGACCACTCCAGATCTCCGGCGCTCGCACCCTGCGTGAACCCGCAGAGACGTGCCGTGTGCGGCGAACAAGTTGACGACATCTGGCAGCATCCGAGAGTGTGTGGCATCCAGACGCGCGCAACAGAACCGACCCGCGACCGCCGCCGACCTCGCGCCGTACCCGTCGTCTTCCGACGTCTTTCGTTCTCTATTCTTCTTTCCCCCGACGCAGCCACTTGGACCGCGCCGCATACACACACGGAAAGCCATCATCGAACCCCAGGTCTATTACTATTACTAGACGCGTGCACACCGCTTAGAATACAATGTTTTCCGTGTTCAACCCTTTCGTTCTAGGTCCTTCGTGATTCTCACTCGAACACGACCACCCCATTTTCAAAATTATCCTCTCCTACCAAATGTGTTATTTTAGTAGAGTTAAAAATTAACTTAAATTATTTTTCTATGAAAAAGCGTAATTAATTTGAAGACTGCAGTTTTAAGAAAAATATTGAAGCATATTTCGATAAATTACTTTTCGTATACACATCGCATATCTTAAAATACTTTGTTTACTTTACAGTTTTCGATGTATTTCAACTTGTTTTTATCTGTTTTTTTAGAATTCCAACCGCATATTTACTCTTTATCGCGCTCTCGGTACGTTTTCTCAGCGCAGTTTTGCTTTATTTTGTTTCACGTCGCCTCTTTGCATTCCTACTAAGACGTGGTCGGTTATTAATCGTGCACGTCTGCTTTATTCCGCATTTAAATTAAGAAACTACATTGTAGGAAGATTCAACGGGTAGCGCATGTGTTATTTGCTAGAATTAATCGTGCAAGGTCATAACAACTCACCCTTTCTTCCTCTCGAATCATCTCCGCGATGCCTGGTTTGATCTCGAGATCGTCGGTGGCGTGGGAAATCTGCGGTTGTGGTGGTAGCGCGGTCATGTTCAGTGGCAGTGGGTCGGCGCTCACTCCACCACCGGCTGAGGAGGCCGGCAGTGGCGTCGCCGGCGGAGCCGGACTCATCTCAACTGAAGCGGGTTGTTCGGGAATGCCAGTACTGGCGCTCTCGGCCGGACTACTGATACTAGAACGCTCGCCAGAAGGACGACGACGTTTCTTTGCCCTTTGACCATTCTCGCCCGCCTGCTGCCCATCGCGGCTTGCAGGCGCGTCGCGTGCTTCCCATTCCGGCCCACTCAACACTGTTGCCGGCGACTGTTTTACCGATGTTCTGGTGCTGGTGATCTCCGGCGAGGCACCGACCACGTCCTGCTCCCCATTGACGTCCGCTAGCCCGCGGATCTTCAATGATTCGGCAACTTTCAGCAGTGGGCCAATCTGTTCCTGCGACACGTTGATCTCGCCCTTATACATGAACTCCACGGCCGCTTTCAATTCGGGCCACTTGATGTCGCGCATAATCACGATCGGATGCTGACACGGATTGTCGAAGAAGAGCGTTTGAAAGTACGGACTGCACGCGGACAGGACCATTTTGTGCGCCTTCACCGAATGTCCATCGCAGGCGAGTGTCACGTCGACGAACGACTCGCTCTGCAGCAGCTGATCGAAGACGTTGGTGAGGTTGCTCTGGTAGTTGTTCCATCGAAGGCAGAATTGCTGCGGTGAATCCGAAACGTGCTGCATCTTCGGTTCGTCGGTTTTCAGGCGCACCTGAAAGTGTCCACAAGAAACCAGAAAACAGAGTTAATCACAGCGCCTCGCACTACAACGGCACACACATTTTGTCAACTTTTCGGCGTGTTAAGTGTTTGAACAAGTGTTGTTGAACTACACAGTTTATATCCAAATGTTTGGTAGTAGTAAGGTTGCACGCGATGCGGGCGAAGTAAACACAGTGGGCGATGTCGCGCGAGCACGTGTTGTACGCACACGAGACTCGGGATGCGCTAACGACTGATGCGGCGGGTGTGCACTCGAGGCGACGACCGACGATGCTCTAGCGTACGCGGCCAACGCGGTACTAACGCCAGCGTGTACCGACGAGTGTGCGGCGCACTCCAACTCGCGGAGGTGGGCACGCGTGCGTGCGGCAGACAGAGAGCACAGGGGGCCGGCCGGTTGTGCCCGCGCGCAGCCCGCGTCGCACCGCAGCGGCCGCGCGGAAGACCGCCTTTCATCCAACCCACACACCCACGAGAACCGCGTGGACGCCGAAACCGCGCCACCGCGCGCGCCGTCTCGCGTACTCGTCGATCACCGCCAGCTAATTATGCGAAATCTATCAACACCTGCACACCCCGCCGCTGCTGAATCTTTTCTTCGTGTTTTCGCTCTTTACACTTTTGCAAAAACTATTACAAAAATACACCCGGCTATTTCGCGGCATATTTATTTACTTTAAATTTATTAACATCACTGCCATTAATGCGTTCAAAGAAAATACATTATAAGAAGTCATTTCGGTGTGTAATTTCCGGAACCTATACTTTTATAAACAGAATGTGGTTGAACTTGGTCGCTTCAAAACGGATCAATCGCCTGCTCCGAAAATTAGCCTCTGTTTATTATTTTATTGTAATGTAATTACCGAGCGCATATGTTAATTAAACGTAAACTCAGCACCAGAATTTTTAGTTTCAAGAACTCGTTTGATGTCACCGCCAACACTCTTCATATTTTCTAATTAATTATCTTAAAACTTGAAAACTACTTCAAATGCGCCAAAAATTTATTCAGTGTATACAAATGCTGTTGTGCTAGCTACTAGAGTAACTAAATTCCATTCGGAAATTAACCCCCGTTAATAGCTGATGTTTGATGCGGTTTCCAGCAAATAGCCGTTGGCTAGTTGCTCTTCTACCTTCAAATACGGGCCTATCAAAACACAATTGGTTTTCAGTTTCCATAAAAAACAACACACACGAGCTCAAAAATAAATAGATATCGAAGAAAAGGTAATCTGTCGCTCAAGGAGTGAAAAATTAATGTTCAAATAATTATCTTTAAAAGATTGCTTATTACATACCTATTTACCTAAATTATTCTTCGCAAATTGCAAAATAAATTTTCCTCTTGAAAAATATTTTCTGTTAAAATTTCATTTCTCCAATATATTCAACTTAGATAAATTCCTAGTGTTCTTACCTTTACTATACCCGAATGTTAATACTCACTAAAAGTTGTGAAATACTTTTATGACTTTAAATAATGTTAACGCAACTCATAATTTGCCTCCCATAAAAGAAAATTATCATAAAGACTCACATATTTACATCTTTTATAATATGTATTTAAAATAATATTCAACTTTAAGATAAAATACTTACACAATGGCATCAAAATAATATGAGAATACGTGTTGAATGGAAATGTTTTATTTCGCCACAAGATTATATCTACATAAATTTCATATTTTATTAGCAATATAATAATAAACCGAGTTACATTTTCATATTTTTGTCGGCACAAAATATTTCGTTTAATCAAACATGGTTAGGCGTCAAAAGCGACAAAACTTTATTGAAGCATCACCCTAGACAAATAAGCTAAAGTAGATTGTTCATAATTTTATCTTAATTTCATACATGAACGTAAATGTTGATAGCTACGGCAACGAGAAGGTAAAGCCAGTGATAAAGTCGACTTTGTTTTCCATCTTGTCGCCACTTTATAAAGCATAGCGATTTCTTTTAACTATTACCTACCTATCTATAGCCGCATATAAAAGAAGTTTTTCTTCATTTAAGGCGATTTTCATGAATGTAATTGAAACGAAACAAAAGTTAATTATGTTTACATAATCCATTGAACGGTAACCCTTAATATTGTATGAATTATATTTTATAAGAGACAAGAACCCGTCCGTCCACTTATAAAGAAGCAGAAGACCAGTGATGATTGAATAATGGCAAGCGACGTGGAAAAACGACGTGGGCTTGCATTTTAATGCATCGTAATCAATTTGCGACAATATTTCAAGAAGTAATTGGAGATTATAAATGCATGCATTTAAAATTCAATGAATAACCATTGTAAATTCTAACCATTTTACCATTTTAAAATTCAGTAAGAGAGAGATTAGGAGTGGCGCCATCTGCGCGAAATAAATATAGTAAATTTGTTCATACAGCGACTTCCAGGTGCCTGAATGAGATTGACAATTTAATTGAATGTTACCTATGCGCTTTATAAACAACCAATTAGGTATAAAAATTGCATTACATTTCCGAATCGAACTTTATAAGCCAGAAAAACAGATAGGTACGGAAGAAAACAAAGATGAGATTTACTAAAACTAACAAGTAGACTTAAGTTGAATAAGTACCTACTGACGTAGAATGGAATATAACAACGATTGTAATTTCCTAATTTAATCCTTTAATTAAACTTTCCATAAAAACGTATTTTTGTGTGTGCCAATGGCGAACCACCGCGTTAATATTATTGACATATACTTAACGAAACAATAGCAACCAATATGTTTAAAATGTAACCAGCGTTCGCAATTCGAAACGCGAATGTCGAATGTATGTTTATTCGTACGAGTAATGCGTAGTAAATGAACAAAATGTATAAAAAACGAGCTGCCGGCCAATTTAAACATGCTGTGGTCCCACGCGTGGTGATATTGTCGTTTTCGCACGTTTTCATAACATGCACAATATTTTTAATAAATATTTTGCTCTACAATATTATTCAGCGCCAAATTGCAGCACTTGTTACTTGCGCGAACGTCCAACGTTCCGACCTTCAGTTATCAGACAGCCACATTATTGTTTGAAAATAAGTTAACTATGAATGTAAGTAATTGAAACCGATTGTTATGTTAAATTTAAGTAATATTCTTTAATTATTAATAGCGACAATGGGCATAACAATGTTGTAATACAATAGAAGTGTCATGGGCTTACAATTCTTGGCATACAAGAGTATCACAGACCTACTAGTCGTTGAATTAATTGCTGATTATCAAAATGTAACGTTAGTAATAACTATCCACGCATAGCTATAGAAATATTAATAGATATCGCATTACCAATGCGCTAACTTAATATATTTTTTAAGAACTTCATTTTCATATCAGGAATTAACAAAAATTTCGTCTTGGCATCTGAAAATAATCTTGAATTGTTTAAGACAGTCCAACAGTCAAAAATACCAAATGCAACTGCGTAACATCTTTATCAAAAATGACTTAAACCGATTTCACATTTTCTCCTGACATTAGAAAAGTCAAGTTGTCAATTTGATCAAAAATTGCAAAGACATGCAATTTTTAAAACATGTGTGATTGATGTACAAAAACGAATATTCCAACAACACTCATTGAAATTTCACTGCATCTACACAAAATTGGCGTATTCGGCCATATTTCCATTTTTGCGATGGAAGGCACATGAAAAAGCAATGACAGTTCGAAAAATGTGCGACGGCTCAATTGAATCGTTTTGGTCAAGTTGAGATGTGCGATGCGTAGGCGTGTCTTTTCGCGTCCACGAGCAACATGGCAAAATGCACCGGAGAACCCACACAGGAACAATGCGCATCCCGGGCATTCTCGTCAACGTTAGTTTTCGTTGGCGGCGGCTGTTTTCGCATCGCGGCGCAGTGCACGTTCGTGTGTTATTATGCTTGTAAAAATAATGGAATTTAATGAAGGTGACAGCGCTGCTTTTCACAATCGACGCGCGGAGTCGCTCGCGTTTTTAAAACAACAGTCAATTAGTAACTCCTCTCCAGGGTCGCGCACCGGACGCCCACCGGACTGACTGGACCGGCGCCGGAGCGTTGTTTTAACGTAAAAAGTAAATGCTTTTTTGCCGCCGCGCTACTTGCTTGCACGTTCACATGGCGCAGCGCGTATTAAATCATAGAGAATACCGGCCGCGGACATGGGAAAAAATCGAAAAAACAGCGCGAGGAAAAAGTTTAAATTGTGTAATGGACGAAAATAACTTAACTTAATGCGAAATGTTTCTAGAATACTAGAAAATCATTTCATTTAATTTGAACCGCAAGTTCACATGTGAAATTACTGCCTCAAAAGTGTTAAAATCAAGTTAAAATAAATGTCCCATTATTTACTTACAGAGAAACTTAAAACTTTAGACAAGTTTAAATTATACTTAACTCATTTATTTAATGCTTCATAGTTTGTTTCGAACGCATTTATTGTGCACGTCTCTGCTTCTGCGCTATCGCACATACTTGAAACTTGATAAAGTCCTGAAATCTAGTTAAATATTGTCAACACGCTGGGTATAAATTTGAGAATAAGAGGCGCAATTAAATTTATCGATTTGCCTTTCTTCTTCTATAACTCTTCGCCGCATACACTTCCATTGGCGTCGTTGGTGCACATGATTTATTAATCCAATTCTCGCAGGATCTAATTTGTCACTAATTAATAAATATTAATTTATCTATGTGGAAAATCGGGTCGGCGGCAATGGCGGCGAAAGCCTAACGCGCCTCATAATTAAAATATCATTTCGCCGCCGCTCCGACAGCGTTGCCGCCGCCATAGACCGTCGTCGAAGCGCAAAGAGTCAAATATTCACGAAATATTCACTCTCTCGAGTTTTCCTGCGTGCACAAGATTTTGCATAGAAGCAAATGACCCTGTATTATTAAAATTAAAATTAAAAGAAAAAATTCGCACTAGCGGCGCCACTTCTAATAATATTTCTAATATGTAACGAAAACATGAT